TGGGTCCAAGAAATAGAATCATGTTCGGGACAAAGTATGAGGTGAGAGTCATTTTAGAGCTGACGAAAACTGCCAATCAGCTGGTGGCCTTGCTCTAGCCTTCAAGTGTCCTTTATCCATCCATCCATCATTTCATTTCCATTTATTTATTTATTTATTTATTTATTTATTTATTTATTTATTTATTTATTTATTTATTTATTTAATCCATTCAGTGACGCTCTTAAGCATTAGTAAAGTTGATAATTTATAAAACGCTGGTATTTTTTGACCTTAAAAGGAAAACTTGGAGACTTCGTGACGCAGCAAGGCAACAATATGGCTGCTAACTTAGTTGGGGGGGGGGGGACCACGCGGCGGCGCAACGCTTTGCTCGCCTGGCACCTTTGCGTACTTGGGGAAATCCGTGAGCCAGGGGGACTGTAGGCAGTCTAGGGAGGTGGGGGGAAGCGGAAAGGGGGGGGGGGGTGAGGGCAGTCACTTGACATGCGTGAAAAGCTGGAATGTTCGAGTTCACACTATCTCGCTCGAGAGAGCGCCAGGCGAGCAAAGCGCCGCGCCGCCGCGTGGTCCCCCAACTAAGTTAGCACCCAATTTTCTATATTACGTAACATTAGGCGGGGTTCACGATTAGAAGGCAGCCTATTAGAATCAAGGCAGAGGTGCTCAGTGATACCTGGGTGAAGAAAGAAACCATGAGGAACCAGGTCCAAAACCCGAGAAATAGGTCAATTTCTTTGTCCGTTGATCCCGCATTGATACGACTCTCATCGGCGCTGCCCTGTTGAATGCTAAGTCGCGATCACTGCTAAACGGCTAGAGACCTACGGCGAATGGTTAGCCACAATGGGCGTGTCGTGTCGACAACGCCGCGGGGACGGCCATGCAACATTGCCACAGAGAACGTATATTTAGCTGCAATTGTGTTCCGTCTTTCGTTAGGTAAGTTTCCCTTTTTTCGACCTTCGACTTCGGCGTAGAAACCCCTTTAACCCTCGCTCTTGTACTGATGGGCAAGCCCCTTACCGCTGACCCGTGCCTCTGATTTCTTCACAGATTCTTGAACGGCTATCCTGGGTATTGATGGAAAGGTCGCGATGGAAAGCATCTGCTACGAGGTTAAACAAAAAGCAGATTCGATTATGTACGCAACCGCTCCGTAACCCTCACATGCCAGGCGATTGTACCTTCGCATCCGCTAGCGCGAAAGTGATTCGAGTACTCAAACTGACCGTAATTGACGGTGAGGTTGGCCGTCAAGTAGAGAGGCGCACAAAAGGACAGGAGTAGTGACCGAAACAATTGCGACATGCCGATCAGAAAGGTGAAGAGTGGCGCGTCGTCGGAGATGAACCCAGAACTGATCGGCCCTGAAATCGATTTAGGTTCGGTGAAGGGTGAGGTTAGCAAGTGCAAAGTCAATAAACCACGAACAGAAACACACTAAAATCGTAGGAGGAATTTATGGAGGTGAACCAGAGTCATGAGATGAAGACGAGACAACGTCATCGACGAATGATGACCATCATTTATGAACCGCCAGCCGGTTTGAGGTTCAACGCTGAATTTCGTTGAATTGGTGACTGTGGCTTATTTATAGACAGAAAAGCGTGCTTTCTGCAATGCCAGTTTCTCTGAATGGATTTTGGCGGTGGCACATGTTGAATGATGATGAAAAAGTTCAAAACCTTGAAGAAACTACGAGTCAGAATACTATAAAACTGTTCTTCTTTGAGAACTCCTTACCACATTCAACCCAGAGCAAAGATTATCCTACTGTCTTCGATATTATTCAGATTAGATATCACTCATGGTCAGTTCAGGCCGCAACCTTCACAGTTTATGATACCCTAATGTTGATGTGATCAAGAATGACTATCGATTGTACGCGCATAAAATCAATATTCTTCCCGAAGTACGCACGTCAGAAGTGCGGGAAATTTTAGAAGACCAGATGCATCAATGGTTCAAAATTGTATACATTATATTGAACCAATTAAGAAGCAGAGTCAGGTGTCGCCAAAATCAGAATCCGCTTCAGGGAGTACTTGTTTAGTTTGCTCAGGGCTAGATGAGTAACCGTCGAGGATCATTGACGTGGAGTTTGGGATGCGTCAAAGGAGAAGAAACAGGTAGCAAATGAAATATCGGTAAAACAACGTTTTGTCGTCGAGGTCATACGCTCTGACTCCCTTCCCACCTCCCCCAAGCTCGATGGCAATTCGAAATTTTTTCTTTCGTAAACTTCCGGGATTTTGGTATCGAGGTGAGTGTGACTTGTAGTAACAGACGTGCTGTCAACTAAGGGGCTCGTCTTGGGAACTAGGGGATTATAGGGGAAGCCATCGTGCCAAGGTACGTTCGTTGGAAGAGTGTTTTACCGTCGCGACTGTTCCTTCGACGCGACGCTTCACCTTGGTTTAATCTGCGGTTGAGGAGGAGGAGGGGAGAGAAGGGAGAAGCTGTGTAGCGAGGGTTACGGTGTTTTTGGTCTCATGGAATGGAACACTCATTAGTGTTTCCTCAGGATATTAACCAATTTATTCAGGAACTTTCACAGTTTTACCACAGAAAGTATACTTTGTTGGCCGCCGCGAGGTCGAGGCGAGGTCATAATTGCAGGTTCAACAATACACGTGGTATCAGACGGTATGAAAAGCATCAAAAATAACTCGTAATATTGGTATTTTTTCAAAGCTGTCGTTGCGTTTCTCACTGAATGTGTAGTTACGGCATGCATGGTTGCAGGAAAACTCCCTCTTGATTTGAAGACTGGAGATTGGAAAATTGGAATGAGGATGGTGGAAGTAGCCGCGTGGATGGTATGTGAAATTCCGAGCACTGGATCGACCTTGCCTTGAACAGAAAAAGGAAGGATCAACGACATTGCAAAATGAAGTGTCCAGGTTCATGTCGGACTACGCCATGAGTTCGACTTCCCTTTCAAATTGTGTACATAGTTGTACATAATACGTATCAAGACGATAGAGACCGTGCTTGGACGACATAAATGTCTACAAGGCGGCCAGTCGCTACTTCATGAGGCTCCTCCACCGTTCCTTTATGCGAAATTTGTGTCGGGAAATAAAATTGCAAAACTCCTTATTAATCAATCAATATCAAAGAAATCGTCTGAAAGAGAGGAACGAGTAGATGTGGAT